GGATTAAAAGCTTTCCATGTGATTGCCAAGCCACTGAAGACAAATACACATATCGAAGATCGCAAGTGGCTAGCAAATTTTCTTACTGATTGGACTGAAGAAGATTTTCTACATGTTGCACCTTCGGATGAATTTTACATTTATGTTGTAAGAAAACCAAACCATCAAAATGATCGAATTTGGGCAAGAAGTATTGACGACATCAGTGATGATGAAAGATACCGAGAGATGGTTTACAATGCAACATGTATTGGGGTTTTCGTCATGTTTACTGCAAAAAAACTACTTTGGGTGCTAAAAGAACATGAACAGTCTTGGGATGGCGCTTATTTTCGTGACACTATCCTTCGACAACAGATGATCCCATTTCTTCGTGATTCGTTCAATGTTCTCGATACGAACGAAGTGATATTTCTTCACGACAAGGCACCTTGTATGAAAGCGAATGCAACACAACATCTTTTAGAAGATGAGAATGTGAATTTCTGGGGAAATTCAATTTGGCCAGGCAATAGTCCTGACATGAATCCTGCAGAAAATATTGGTGCAATTATTAAAGATAAAGTTGAGGAACTAATGGCAAATGAAGATCGTCGTAGCAGATACAATTACGATGCACTGAAAACGAATTTGGAGAATACGCTCAAAGATCTTGAAAATGATACAGATCTTTCTATTGACTTGTTATGCTCGATGCGAAAAAGATTTGACGCTCTCAAGGCTGCTGATGGGGGTCATACGAAGTTCTGAAACTTTCGAAAAAGCATTTTTTAGTATTCAATATTATCAATAAACTGAATAATTAATGATTCACAACTTAAGTTACTGTTGAGCACAACGGCTTTTGACGTACTCGAGATTGTGATATATAAGTGAAAATGATGTATTGAGCCTAGAATCGTTATAATATTACAAACTATATTTGTTCTGACTATACCACTAGACGTAACTTTTTGCGGGCTTTCATTTGGTATAAAATTGTTGGGAGTACTATTTGGTCTTTAGGTCTGGAAGGGGGAGCGTAATGGTTTTTTTACACCCTGTATATGAATCGTTTAATTTATCTTTCTCAGCTGAAGGAAATTATTTTATATTAGAATCAACAACTGTTGACTAAATTTGAAATTATTCTTGCCATTGTTGAACAGATACATTTGAATTACAAAATACTAAAAGAAACCTTTTATTCAATGTAAAAGCAACTGTAACACCAATTAAAGATTTACTAGTACCATATGGTAGAGTAATCAAAGGAAAACATGCATGTGTATTAACAAACATATTTCTTAAACTTGATCGAAGTTCAATGTTTTGTTGGAATGAAAATCATGTTCATCAAGTAATAGATACTCTAATTGTTGACATCGTTTACGTAAAACTTTAATTTTATTTAGAATAACTTTAGATGAGGCTATTTATTAAATCTTTATTATCGTGATCAATTTTTTTTTATATAAATATCGAATATTATTATACTTATATCAATAGTATTCTCTATCGTTTTTAATGACATTTGTGTATGTTGTAAGAATTTTTAAAACATTACGAAAATGATTCTCAATAAAATACTGATTATGATTTAGTATTGATTTTACTTTTTCATAATTTAATAAATTAAATAATGTAATTAGTTTGTATAACAATAGATACCCTAACATAGAGTGAATATGCTAATAATTTATATTCTTCTATATGTTTTCTTATTGATTAATAGATTCAGTAATAGTTATTAAAAAATTATAACCTTATTTATAAACTGATGAAAATGATTCAAGAAAAATATGATCATTTGTTACAACCTATAATAAACGATTTTCATGATCAACTATTATTTTCAAAACATCTTTCAATGTTTCACTTGTTGTATTTTTTATATATGAGTGATCGTAAACATCATCGTTAGCTTGAAGTAAATCATCTAAACATCAAGATGCAGCTGATAGAATATGTCTTTATCTCTTTCCATAAAATCATAATTTCTATGATATTCTTTACTTTTGAATAATTTTGACAATCTGTCACATGATTCTTTCGATGAATGTTATTTGACTCATTTTCAATAGCAGAATACATGTATCTTAAAGTGACTTAGTAATGAATGCACAAGCAATTGTTATACCAACGATAATAACTGCAATACTTGAATTGTCTTTGACTAATTATCCTTCTTGACGAGTTGCAATCAAAAGCTTTATTTTTATGATATATATATATAGAGAGAGAGAGAGTACGACATATATATTATCTTAACACACAGGAAACAAATAAATACAACCAGAGAATTGAAAAAAATGTAGAAAAACCAGCCATATGTTCTTATTTTTATACATTGAGAGAAAGTTGCTAATGACAATTTATCAATAGGTAAATGATCAATTATGATCAAATACATGTCATGATGACGAAAATGTACGGTGACTGACAACATTAAGCTACCTGAGCAACATTCTATGTATAGAAAATATAGTGCATTGTTATTGGCTTTGATGTGAAATGAGTTGAGATTGATTTTAGACTGATAATTAGTATAGTTGGAACAATCTCTTTCGGTATATGTTATGAACTATGTTTATTTAATGAATGCAGAAGAGGATCATGTCAGAAAGACAGAGTGAATTAGACCGAATTACAGTTAACGATATAGAAAGATACTGAAAAAAAAGTAGAAGAAACAGTGTAAGTCGTATCTATGTTTGAAATGTTAGTGTATTATTTTTGTGACTAACAGAATTATAAGTTTTAGGAAAGTTTGCAATAATGAACTCTTTGCCTAAGATGTATCAAGTGAACATGGCAAGATATCTACCAGATGTATAGCCAATATTTTGCAAAAAAAAAGAAAAGAAGAGACGGATATTTTGATGGAAATGAAAGAAAAACATTTCCAACAAACCACTTGGTGGAAAAAAATTTATTATGGAATATATTAATATAAATAATATCTTCAGTAATATTTATGTAGAGAGAATTGGATAGATGTATTCCATTTTGGATTATTTGCTCGTTTCATAAATGGAGTTTTTAATGTTAATGAACCAATAATTATTTCGCAATAGAGATTTAAAAAGCCTAGAGACAAAAAATAATATAAGAAAGAATAGCAACCAAGTAACTTACTATTTTTGTTAATGACTGAGAAGAATACTTACGATATCGTTCTGGTGTTGTCATTGATGGTATTAAATCACGGGCTTTTAGTACAACTAGAGTTAGATAAGTTTTATCTGTAATATTAAACAATACGTTATCGGTTAACACTAATTTTTCTACTACTTGATATTGTTTTAGTGTATTATTATTAGTTCATACTTATAATGTACTACAAAAAATAGAAGAAAAATAAGATTTCTACATATATTCAATTATTTTATGTTTTGTTTTTTCTATCATACTTTGATATCTCATTCGAAACAAACATATCAGCTAATAATAATGGCTAAAAAATAAAGAATAAATTCAATAAAATAGAACATTTAGTTAATTAATTTACCAGTCGAAAAAGTTTTAATTGTAAATGTGATTATGGTTGAAGTAATTTTGGTTGCCAATTGTTTGATAATGTTTTTACATTTGAAAATAAAAGAAAATCGTTAAATAAAAATGTTAACAATTCTTTTCTACTTAGTATGTAAACAAGATGGATAACAACTTTAAAATTAAAATATTATCCATACCGAATATCCATAGACTCTATTGTATGATCAGTTTTCAGTGACTATAACTGTTGACTTTTACGGTATTACTTTGAAAATGAAAGTCAGTGCCTCTCTGGATAATAATAAGTTGATATCGAATGTTTTGACCATATTGAAAGAGGTATTAGTGTTTATTTCCTTCTTTAAAGTAGCATGAGATACTGTTTTCAAGTAATTTTCAAGTAATACAAAATTTAAACTTATGTATTTGATATTTTAGTCAAATTTGTTTTTCATATTGCTTTAAAATAAATGATAAACATAACCAAAATCTTCAGTAATAACTCCTTTCAAAAGTACTAGTGATCAGTTGACTGGTTTGGAAGACCTCAGCACAATCATTGCGTGTGGGTGTGGGTGTGAAGATGTGAGTATGGGTTACTTTCCAAACAATCACATCCACACCCATACCCTTTATGAGAAAATCATTTATTTAAGTATTAGCTGGACAAACAACAATGAGGAAAAGATTGAAAACAAGCATTTGTATCTATTGAACCAAGTGGATGGATATGAAATAACTATTCGAAGGTATTTGTGGAAAGTCGTTTGAAGATGATATTACTGTTGATCATATTGGAATTTTATTCTCAGATACATGTCAATTACAATTGGTTGATGTCAATCTAATTCAAGTATGACAATAAGTGATTTATTGTTGATTTGAACAAAATTTTTGTCAATAGCAATTTAATCCAACTGAAAATTTTAATTGGATAAGACATACAAAAAAAGTACACTATCAACTGATACTGAACCAAGTTCAGATAAGAAGATAAGAAAATTTTCAAATGAAAATGTAAGAGTGAGGTGAGGGCGGTTTCTCTCTTCATATACTTTCATTTACAACACTTCTACGTTTCGGTATAATTACCGTTTTTGTTTTCGGTATTTATATTTTTTTTCGACATTTTTACTGTCGGTGTTAGTAGGGTAAGCCGTCAAAAACCAGTTTTACTTGAAAACTTCGAAAAAAACGCTAAAAAAAAACAAAAAAAATCATAATTAGCATCCGGACGTCCAAATATGCCTAATCCCACTCCTCTTGTTCGGAAATGTTCGTCTTTTACTGTCTTCACCCATCCCTCTTTGTCTAAACGTCCATTTATGGATGGCCCTTATACAATTGAAACTCAAACCATCGCTGCTTGAAGAATAAGGTTTGATTTCTTTAAATAAATCTTACTCTTTCTTTATCACATGTCGACACATAAAGTTTGTAATCATATATTTTCTAATGAAATTAAAGCATAACGAATCATTTGCTGTCTGTGAATTATATAAAATTCTCTCGAATTTCTTTTGTCAAGGTCTCCATTCTTGATTTGTCGCATGTATATATTCAATCATAGTCCATGCATTCGGTGAATTATGATTAATTTCCAGTACATCTTTAAACCAATGAGATGCACTATAAATTTGACCACGATCATGTACCATAGAACCCAAACGAAGTACACAATCAACATATTTGGAATGTTCACGTAAAATTTCTTTATATAATGTTTCAGTTTTATTAAATTCAAATGATGCTTCGCATACACGAGCTAAACTATAACGTATTGTAATAAGAATTGAATTAGCATAAGCTGGTTCAACTTGATGAGGTTGTTCAGCATATAAGATATGAGATGTCCTTTTCAAAATATTTACGACTTTCTTCATAGTTATTTAAACGATAATGTAATGAATCCATATTATTCAACATTTCTATTGGAATATTTTTTCCATGAAATTGACGAATTAATTTTGATGTAGTCATATAAGCATCCAATGAATCTAAAGAAATAGAAAAATATTTTATATCTAACAGAGTCAATTCTCAAATTATTTTTAGAAGAATATTCTAGGAAGTTAAATTTCATATGCAATCATTCGTATATAACACTAACATTTTCAGGCATCATACCTTTGGTACAATCTAAGATCGTTATCAAAGGAAATTTACTTAATCGAAGTAAAAACTCTAATTGATTCTTATGAATATTTTGTACTTTCTTTGGTAATTTAAATATGAAGGGTGGTATGGGTATGGGTGGGTGTGGGTGCGGGTATGAGTAAAGATAGCAATGATACCCACACCCTTTTGTAGAGAGAGTTTTGCCACTACATTTATAGTTGAGCTAAGTATTTTTACTCTTTGAACAGCACTCAAAATCAAAGTCCTTTTTGTGTGATTCCGTAACGTACCTATGTGTCAGTCATAAAACAAACACTAAAACTTGAAATCCTATGAAACTTTCAGCATGCGTAGAGGAACTCAACTTACATAGCCTGTGAATATTTTAAGCCTTATCCTATTTCATTTTGTTGAGATATTACAAAGACACGAGGAAAAAACGTGATTCCATCACGCTTGGACAAGCTGTGTGGTGTTCTTGGGTATGGTCGTGAACTAATCGGAAGGCTATCAC